TTTAGTTTTAGAGTAGTTAAGAAGTTGAAACCTTTTTCCAGTTCCGTAGCTATCTGCTATGGTCATGCAAGAGGAAAATGCACGGGAGAAATTAATTAAAGAGAGAACACACGAGGATGGAATTCGAATAAGGTTTTATTTTTCATTTCATGCAGAGTAATTTACTGTGTACGTCCACCTAAACAGCCTTTTTGTCAAAAAGTGTGGACATTATTTGATCAGATCATGTGAAACAGCAAGACTATACATCTTCATATTACATCCTTTTCCTTTGTATGTTACATGTCAGGTGTATTCTATGTTAGAGTTTCGTAATGTTCCTTTTAATATTATTATCTTCAATATTTAATACAACATTTCATATTATACATACAATATGTGATTTCAAGTCTTAATTATCGCCTAGCGTGTTTCTATAAGAAATTTATATTATCTCTGACAATATAATTAATTTTTTTTTTATTTAGAATAAAAAAACTAATAGGTCAAACATTTAAAAAGGGCAGTGATGAGTGGTCCATCGCAAGGTCAAGAGGGCAAATGTTTCAGACCCTGTGTAGAGCTAGCTGTAAGGCTCTAAGGAGCGGTGTGAACTTAAGAGATACAAGTTCTTCTTTAAACCAAATATGGCCCTATTCATAATATTTTTCAAACTTGTCTCTCCTAAACTTCTCCTGGCCAGCTTCATATTCATTGTCCCACCCTCCTGCCAAACATACACCAAGTCTATGAGATAGGCAAAGGGGGTTCATTGTCCTACAAGTCCTCAAACTATTCTAAACTTTAAATTGATCACTTAATTTCAAAACATTATAATTGAATCCTTAAATTATGAGTGTTGTATCAACCAAATCAAAACTCTCCAGCTATATTCATTAACTCGAGCATTAATGAGCAAATCAAATGAGTAGATCATATTTTAAACATACGAATGAGACTGTAAACACTTTTGTGTCAATTGCATATATTGCATAAATGTGATGTGTTAAAAGAATGAAAGAAATAATTCTCCTAAATTTTATAGACGCAATCTTTTTCTAACATGGTAGACTCAAGACGTTCATAGAGCAGATATTTATGTCTTTACAATATGGTCCATGTGTTTTAAATATGGTCCATTATTTAGATCCAATATGACCTTTATAACCTAAAATGAATGATTAGACTGAACAGTAGTAATACTTTAAGGACTTAATTAGAATGTTCTGAATGTTTATGTTAAAATTTATGACAACCTATTATGGTAGGTCAGAAATTTACGAGGCGCCCTAACAAAGAATAATTAGAAGAAAAATGAGGATGTGTGAAGAATACAAAGACTCTTAAATATATATATATATTCTAAAATTTTATAGATAACATCTTTTTATATTTATCGTCTATATAGTGAATTGTTTTCTCTTTGCATATGGTTTAAACATGAATTCCTTTAAACATTCCCTGTGTAGGTGGCGCACTCCCAAAGGTTGATTTGGTCTCTTTCATAGTATTAAAAGTATTTAAAAATAAAAATTTATTAATTATGTTGCCAAATATTGTCATTTTTTCATGGATAGATTTGAGGAGTTATCGAACTGTCTTCAAAAGGGACAAATACCCCAAATCCGTGAATCTCGACGGCATTTCTCACTAAGGCCACCCGCCATTGATTGGTGAGAAACTAACACTATAACATGCCTTAATAACACGCATGCAACTGGCAAAAAGTGGATGGATTAATTAGCTCTTAGTCCCTGTACTCTTTTCACATTTGGAATATAGACCCTCTATTCTTTTGATTTGACGCTTTAATTGTTATCAGGGTCAAAAAATGTTGTTATATTGGACTATGTAGCATTCTTGAATTAAAAAAAACGTGAAACCAATTTAAAGATGTGTGGAAACGGGGAATAAGTTAGAGGAGCGAGCAAGACCTTGCCAAAGTCGAATCCATGATAAAAAAAATTGAGAGGAATCAAATTATTGAACTTCGAGAGTATAAGGTCTTATTAACTATTTAAACTCAAAAATAGAAAAAGTGTGATTTTTCTAACATTTTAACTTATAATGATCTAAATGTCACTATACCTAAAATTTGGAGGGCATGACCCATCCCACCACTTCTTTAGTTCCGTACTTGGGTCTTGGTCCCCAAAATAATAAAGTTCTGATTTAGTCCTTAGAAATTGTAAAAGTGTTAATTTAATATGTCTCTATATTGAATCCATGTAAAAGATATCGAATTATTTCTATGAAATAATACTAAAGAATCTTCCGATTCCACATTCCACATTGCTTATTTAGCAGATTCCTTTTGAACTAAAAGTAGAGGATTAAATTTTTAATATGCAAAGAGTAAACGGATCGTGAGCATAATTCGACCTTTCCATTCATCATGTTATAGATATTGGTGTATATTATTATTAGAGAAGTCACGAGCTGAGAAGCCCTAACCGTTTCTTTTAGAGCCAACCAACAGTGTACAGGGTGTTCTTATACTGCGCATTTATAGGGTTTGCCTTCATTAATTAACCCTTATCTAATCACCCTCTAATCAAGAGCTTAATATCACAAACTATCTATCATAGAATATGGAATTAACATAAACATATTTTAATATTAAAACATCTATCTAATTAATTAATTTCCACTGAAAGACAATGGTCTTCTTTTGGTAAACTTGGCACCATCTTCGTTGTCATCATCATTATAATTAGTTTTGTTTGGTCACCATGAAGCTAGCAAATATTAATTTTTAATACGAAATATTAATTTACATACATGGAGGTCATATGATTATATATATATAGTAAACAAGTGGGGCTTAGGGTTCATTTTTCTAGAGAAATAATAAAGTCTAAATATTCATTCCCTTGTTTGCTTGATCTCGGTAAACTCGGGATGACTTTCAAACCCTAAGTCTTCTTCGATCATCCACTTGTAGACAAAGAGAGCTCCAGATTGTTGGAACATGGTAAGTTTCGATAGCTTCGAGGACTCCAGGACCAGCCTGACAGCAACAACACAGATGAAGACAACAGGATCGAGCCGAGAAACGGAGAGAGCTGGAGCAATGGCTCAGTTGAAGAAAATGGAAAGAAGTCTATTTCTGGATCCGTAAGGCCGTATAACCGTTCGAAAACACCGAGACTCCGGTGGACGCCCGATCTCCATCTTCGTTTTGTTCATGCAGTTGAAAGGCTAGGAGGACAAGAGAGTAAGATGATTAATCCCTCCAAAAACCTTCAATTTTCTTGCTGATTTATGCAATAAAAAGTGTGCTTTATTGGCACAGGAGCAACACCCAAGTTGGTACTTCAATTGATGAACATCAAAGGCCTTAGCATAGCTCATGTGAAGAGTCATCTACAGGTTATTTTCTTTTTCGTCTTACTAAATTGTTTCATTGACTCTTGAATTTGGAGAGATCCTTTTTAACTAAATATCTCTAATCATTTCGGTAGATGTATAGAAGCAAAAAGATTGATGACCCAAATCAAGGTGAGTAATAGCTTAATTCATTCAATCTATAGATTTTAATGATTTTCTTCAAGGTTTATGGAAGTGTATGTATTGCAGCTATGTCAGATGGAGGGCTTTGCTTTGAAGGTGGAGATCATCACCATACATACGAATTCAGCCATCTTCCCATGCGCCACGGTTTCAATTATTGGAATCCTTCAAGTTCCCGGTATGAAAAGAGGTTACCGAGATGCACTGATTATATATAATTCTATGCACAACCAATTAATCCATAGTTTTGGTTCTACGTAGGGATGGGCAAAATGTGTACAGTTCAGTTGCAGAGAAGCTATTTCAAAGCTGCAACAACAATTCACTTAGCATTAGTTCAACGCAAGCAATGGGGCCAAGCAGAACAATGTGCTCCAATTATTTCACGCATCGAGGCACGGTACTAAAGAGGAAGACGATGGAGTGCAACAACATTAACCAAGACATAGATTTGAACCTGTCCTTGAAACTAACAACGACATCAAACAATGATGGAGTTGAAAAGGGTTGGATGATAGCACTTTGTCTCTTTCGTTGGCTTCGTCTTCTTCATGGCTCAGTGGTGGTGATGGTAAGAGGCAGGCGAGGACGACAATGGAAAGTACTCTAGATCTCACTTTATGAATGAGACAATTCTGAGTGAGATCTTGAAGTACTTGTGTCTGAATGCACTGGAATAAAATCGGTGAATTGATCATCATAGATATATATATTGTTTCGATTATATTAAAATCAAATGTGAATCATTGTCGAAATACCAGAACGTTCACAAAGGCCAATTATCAATCAAATCAACCCCCGCTTTGTTTCAATTTTCTTCTTTTTGTTGTTCCCATTGTTCGTTTGTGCATGGATTCCGAGAAAAAAAATAATAAATTTGAGCATTGCTAGATATGCTCGTTGGGGAGCTAGCCTAGTTTATGTCTTTGAAACTAGGTTGCCACTGTAAGGAAAAGACAACAGTTTTATGGAGTTTTGTATTAACGAAAACAGGAATATAAGTGACTAAAAAATATTAAAATTTCAGGGACAGTCGTCCAACTGTGTTAGAGGGAAGGAGAGATCCCTGCTGCATCTTTTTTTTTAATTCTGTCTTTTTGCTAGAGTGACACTCAAGTTGTTTGCTGAATGCACACATGTTTTATATATGAATTTATAGAAAATGATAAATACAAAACATGCACTTGAAGACGCCTCCCCAGCCTTGAACGTCGACTTTCTCCGACAGGGAGCCATGCATTTATAGCAAATTTTGGTTACAGCTTTTGTGTGTTGTATTAATATGACAGACTGACTTTCTCCACATTTCACCGTCAATTTTGGCATTCATGCCAAACCAAAGTCTTGCGTGAGGACACTTCATTTATTTATTTCTGATGTACACTTAATTTCCATGCTACTCTTCAAAGCCTGAACCCATAGCGGAGAAAAACATCAATAACGTAAAATGATTGAAGTGGAGATACTGACAAAATTTTGCATCTCACGTATAATACAAGGACTCGGAGAAGAATTTAATTTAGGGTAAACTACACATTTAATATCTAAACTTTCAGTTTTAGTCTGTTTTAATACCTAAACTTTCAATATTTTCAAAATCATACCTTACGCTTAGTTTTTGTTTCATTTTAGTAACCCACCGTTAAAAACTAAATGGTCAGGTTGATGGGGAATAGCTCCTGTGGACGGACGACCAATTCGAACAGTGGACCACGAGAGAATGACGAATCGACCAACATAGTCCAATTTCAGGCCCATCTGACAGTTGAAGACAAAAATCAAAGGATGAAGAAGTTGAAGAGTCCAACGTCGACTTGGGTAGATTGAGGTATTTTTCGGTGAAACGGAGGCCGAAATCACGCTCAGAGGATTGAAAAGATGCGAGCTGGAAAGTTTGAGTTTTATCGGTCGACGGATGCGACGATCGGTGAATATAGACGTGGCGACCGACGAGCCCATCCGTTAAGTTTTTAACGGCGGATACTAAAATGAAACAAAAGCATGGTTTTCAAAAAATTAAAATTTAGATACTAAAATGGACTAAAACTAATAATTTAGGTACTAAACATACAATTTACCCTTTGATTTACTAGGTTTAATGGTAGCCTAGACTAAGATCCAAAAGTTAATTGTGGACTTGAAAGAAATGTAAACCCAATCAAACCCTATAAATTTTGCCTATTGAGCCCAGCGGAAAAGCCTAGAATGAACCCAGAAGGGGCCTCTGGGAACTCAACACAACTGACAAGACCTAGATTTTCACCGAGCATGGGCCACAAGAATGGATGAGTATTGCATCCAACTGAGTTAAATTGAATATAAATATTGTTTTATTATTTATATTTTATTTATTTAAATTAAAGTAAATATATTTATTTTATTTTATATAAATTTAATTATAAATAATATAATATTAATTTATTTTAATTTAAACGATTATCTCTGGCTATCAACGTTAAGATACTCTAGCAGGAGTATTTATCGGCTAGGTTGAAAGCAAAGGACGAAGTGGGACTCTCATGACCATCTTTATGTGTTTCTTCGTGTTGTATATGAGTGTTGACAACTTTTTCCTTCAGGTCACGTGGAGATAAACATAGTCGACGATATTGGGCTTATTAGACGTGTGGCGCCCATTGGGGTAATTGCCCGTGACTCATCTAGCCAGGTTTTAGGAGAATTGACGGTGTCCTCTCCAAGTTGTGTTGCATCTGGACAAATAGAAATTCACGCTCAATGTTGGCTTGTCTTTGACGAGAGGGAATCACTGGACTCATGTGGTCTTCGAATCTGATTCCATGGTCTTGGTTAATAAGTTATCCCAGCCGGAGGAGGACATATCCACCCTTGGTTTCCACATCAAGGAAGCTTGAGAGTTCTTAGATGCCAACGAGAATTTTTTTATTCAATTTATATCTCGAACTTGTAATACTCTAACCCACACAAATTAGTCTCTTCGACTCTTTGTTCTTGGAAAGCTTTGCAGTTTGACTCATTGCCTCTAATGTATCTGATAACATAATTAATGGTAATATAATTTTTAGGGCACCTTTTCTTTTTATAGGAACTAGACGGGATTTTTAACGAGACCCATCATTCTTTCAAGAAAAATGTATTATATATATAGTATTTAATAAAAAAATCATCTAAAATCATATAATATATATTTATAATATTATTTATTTAAAATAGATAAAAGGAAATAATTATTAAAAATTTATAATTTGAAGAACAAATCGAATAAAATACAAAACTAAAAGATTATTAAAAAAAATAAGTTTTTTTTTTTTTGTTTTAAAGTTGAACTTGTATTGCATTCTTCTATCGTTGAGGAGTATGTAATTAGATTTGATAAAAAAATGTACTTAAAATAAAACATAAATTAAAAAAAAATATGTAAATCAAAGATCAAATAATAAATTAATCAAATTATTTAATTTAAGTAAAAATATAGTTTTATTATAATTATTTAACTTTAAACTCAATTTTAGTTTAAATTCAAATTATAATTTGAGTAAAAAATAAAAAATTTGTTTTCTTTATGAATCTAATGCTGTTTTATTCATTTCTAACCCCAACAAATGTAAACAAGAAAAATCCCATGGTGATCTGAATTTTGAGGACCATGAGATGAGGTTATTAGATCGGTCCCTGACGGACAATACAGCCCCACAAAGGAAAGAAAAGTAGGAACATGTTTGACAGTTAAGTTTTTGAGCTCTCTTCACTTGCTGTTTTTCTCCGCGTGTTCCCTGGGCTGGGTATATGCTTCCACAATCTATTCTTATCCTCTTTTCTCTCAACTTCCCATTGTAATCAATGGCAACCACCACAAGAAGTCCTTCTTCCCTTCTCCTTCTTAACAACAATCGCAAAACTAACCATTTTATCTGCTCTTTTAACTCCAAAAAACCATCTCTTTTCCACCCTTTCCCTCCCCTAACTTTCTCTCTATCACTCTCCTCTTGTCCATCATTTATCACTCCACGCGTGTCCACCGCGCCTCTAGAGTACGCGCCACCCGCTCCGGAATCCAAAATTTCCATCTAGAAATCTCCCTCCTAAAAACTCTCCGCTCAAAGCTCTCGTCTTCCAAAACCCTGAAGCAGAAACTTAAAGTTCTCGACATTGATGACCAAGTCAACAAGTTTTTCAACACCCAAGGTTGTAAAATGTTTCTGGGTTCACTCAGTTTGGGTTTAAACCTGTCGTTTCTCATTAAATGCTTGATCGCAGCCGGTCAAGACCAGGTGCGCCACATGGGTTTTGGTTTCGAATAAAAGGGAATTCAGTGAAAAGTCCGGTGAAGACTGCGCTCTATTCGTTGGTCCAAATGATTCAGAAATGGTAATCGAACAATGGTCGAAACGATAGTGTTTTGGTTCATGATGAAACTCAGGTCTTTAAATACTTGTTGAAGGTTTTAGGAGAAGTTGAGGAGTTCTACGGTTGCATTGGTGGAATCATAGGGTAAGTTTTTCTAATTATTTTGGAATGTTATAAAGAGTTTTTAATTATAACTCTTTATTACAGATAACAGATAATGGTGCTTCAGCTCCTTGCCCAAAATTCACTTCAAATTCATACAACAATTCATGAATCAAAGGAATGCGGAAATTCATCCACCTACTGGATGTGACCTTTCTTCAAACACTGAATATGCATCTCAAGCAGCTTTATGGGGGATTGAGGTTAGTGTCAATGCTAGTTTCTTTGTTTAAGTACAAGTTTTGCTTGAATAATAAGATTTTATCTGTTTTAGGGTATGCCAGACTTGGGTGAATATATCCTTTGGGAGGCTCAGCTGATAGGCTCGCTTGGTATATTCCGAAACCGGTGAATGTCTTCCGGCCGTGATGCTTCCGTATTGTGGGAGGACATTGTTGGAAGGTCTTACAAGAGATCTTCAGGTATGTTATATTTATGGTTTTGGTTGTATTTTTCTTTTTCGTTTGTTTATGAATTGTTGCATAATTGCAAGGCTAGGGAGTTTCTGTATTTCAAGCTGTATGGTAAACAATGCATCACTCCGGTTGCGATCATGACATGTTCGGCTATGAACAACCACAAGCATATCACTTCACTTTGCGAAAGACTTGGATGATTTGGCGAGCCGGGAGAATTTTTGACTCTTTGAACAGGTTTGCAATTGAAACTATTAGGCGATCATTAGTAAATATCAGTGCTCATTACCAATTTGATGTCTAATTTGTCAGCCTCTAGTCCTGCTAAGTGCAGAAGACGGCAAATGGCTGGTCAGAAACCATTTTTGTCAGTACGCAAACTCGGTGATCATGGCATAATCTGGAAATTTGCTAACGACAAAGGTATCTTTCAATGGTTTTATGATCACAGAAGGAAAGGTGCTACTGTTCGGCAAGTCAGGTTAGGCATATTTACTATATTTCGAAACTTGTTCGCGTCAGGGGATATGTATTGGTTGCTGAATTTTAGAATCGCATCGCAGTGTTGCAGTAATGTCGTGGCTGCTACGGATGTGACCCTCTTGCATTGGCAAGGATCGTTTACATCATGCCTCATGGGAAGGTATGTTCATGGTAAGAAACACCAATATATTAAGGTGTTTTGCTAATCTTCTATTGTTCTGAATCCAGTTGTAACAGAAACTCGGGTTTGCGTCCTGCAAGAGGAACATTGGGGCTACAGAAGGAATCAATGTTCTAATCGAGGAGAGAATCTCGATGAGAAGTGGGGCATATGGTCTTTCATGCATTGAATACACCGAGTTCGATAAGTAGAACCACAAGTGGACCTCCTTCACCTAATAGGTACACTATTATGCTTGCTATTATCTGGTCTTGCGGTTATTACTTATCGTTTTTGAAACACTTAATTTCAAGCAATTAAGTCAGAAATCTCTCATTTTGTGTGT